AAGGGTGGGCTGCGAGTGGGGTGGGGGCCAGGGTGGCCTAAGGGTGGGCTCCGAGTGGGGTTGGCGCGAGGGGTCTGGGAAGCCTGCGAGAGCTGGAGGAGGCAGCAGCGGATTGTTTGGGGTGCGGGTTGTGTAAGTCCTGGGCTATTCTGGTTTTGGGAAGCAGCTGGCCACGGCCTGACCACATCCCGGGCCTGGACGCCGCCCGCCCACCCGCTCCCTTCCGGGCACCTTTCTCTGACCCTGACCAGCCTGTGATCTGTGCCAGCTCCCGAGGCCTCCTAGTCTGGGCAGATCTGACCCCACTGGGACAGCTCCCCACAGGCCTGGGTGACCCCAGCTCCCCGCTTTTTCCCTCCAACCCCCTGCCAGGAGAGCTGCTCAAGTCTGCCTCCCAGGAGCCACCTCCAAGGAGACCAGGAGTCAGATAATGTCACCCCAAACCCAGAACTCACTTGGGGGGACAAGTGTGTGTGTGTGTGTGTGTGTTTGTGTGTTTGTGTCTTCACCCCCAACCCCATCCCCCAGAGACAGGGTCATGCTATGTTGCCAGGGCTGGTCTCAAACTCCTGGCCTCAAGCCATCCTCCTGCCTCAGCCTCCTAAAGTGCTGGGATTATAATGAGCCTGTGTGGGAGATGGCAGGGGACTGTGGGTGTGAACAGGGACCCCAGGAAGCAGCCCCTCCCCGCGCAGCACCAGGCTTAGCTCAGGAACCCCCCTCCCCACCCCCCGGTGGCTCCCATTCCCCGATCTGCTGGTACAGAAAGGAGGTGCCCAGAGAGAGTGCCAGGGTGGGAAAGGGGTGCGGGGCGAGGGGAGGAGGTCAGCCACTGTGCCCTGCTGTCACCCAGGCTGGAGTGCAGCAGCGCGATCTCAGCTCACTGCAACCTCCGCCTCCTGGGTTCAAACGATTCTCATGCCTCGCCTTCCTGAGTAGCTGGGATTACAGGCGTGCACCACCACGCCCAGCTAATTTTTGTATTTTTCAGCAAAAACGGAATTTTGCCATGTTGCCCAGACTAGTCTCAAACTCCTGAGCTCAAGCGATCCTCCCGCCTTGGCCTCCTAAAGTGCTGGGATGACAGGAGTGAGTCACCCCGCCCGGCCCTGTGTGTCATAAGTGGCTCTGCTTTGCAGGAGGGTGTAGGGCCTGTATGTTGCAGTGGCTGAACCCTCAAGTCTCAGCATGGGGTCTGCATGCAGCCTCTGTCTGCCCCCTGGGTGTCTGTCGCTCCGTCTGAGGCCATGTGAACCTGTCTTGCCGTGATAGCATGCTACATGTGCGTCTGCTCGGTGCCTGTCCGCGCGTCTAACCCCATGGTGAAACGGTGTCTTCGTGCTGTCCTGCTGCCTTTCTCTCTCTCTGTTTCTTTCTCTCTCTCGCTCTCTCTCTTTCTTTCATTCTTTTTTTTTTTCTTTCTTTCTTTTTGATATGGAGTCTCGCCCTGTAGCCCAGGCTGGGGTGCAGTGGCGCGATCTCGGCTCACTGCAACCTCTGCCTCCCAGTTTCAAACGATTCTCCTTGCCTCAGCCTCCTGAGTAGCTGGGATTATAGGTGCCCCTGCTGCCTTTCTTTAAAAGGAGGACCACGCTGGGTGCGGTGGCTCACACCTGTAATCCCAGCACTTTGGGAGGCTGAGGTGGACAGATCACCTGAGGTCAGGAGTTCGAGACCAACCTGGCCAATGTGGTGAAACCCCGTTTTTTACTAAAAAAAAAAAAAAAAAAAA